GCTCCAGACATCACAGGTCTCTATCAACTTGGTCAGTTCCTTGTTGAGGCCTGGCCACCACACTGACTGCTTAGCTCTCTCCCTGCACTTAGTTATCCCCAGATGTCCCTCGTGCAGTTTGTGAAGAATGTCTTCTCTGAGTGATGTTGGAATCACTATCTGGCTACCATACAGCAGCAGCCCCTTCTGGACTGTGAGGTCTCCTGAGAATGGTAAATAGGCCTGAAATGCTCTATCTATGGAGAACTTGTCTGGCCACCCTTCTGTACAGAACTTACTTAGTTGCTGGAGGGTGGTGTCATTTCCCTGATGTTCGCGATGACGGTGTCCACATAGAAGTTGATTTCGTCCTCCTGCAATCCTCCCGCTCCACCGCTAACAGGTGCTCTAGACAGCACATCGGCCATTGCTATGTCCTTACCAGCCACATGAGATATTGTGAAGGAAAATCTCATAAGCCTCATGCGTAGTCGTTGTATGCGTGGTGGCAGCTCGTCCAGACTCTTTGAACCCAGCAGTGGCACCAAAGGCTTGTGGTCTGTTTCAATCTGGAAACTCTTCCCAACGAGGAACTCCTGGAACCTCTCACATGCCCATGTAGGGGCTAGGGCCTCCTTCTCAATTTGAGTGTAACGTTGCTCAATGCTGCTCAGAGCTCTCGAAGCATAAGCCACAGGTTTCCAACCTGTGTCTGCCTGCCTCTGGAGGAGTACTGCCCTAATTCAATACGAGGAAGAGTCCGCTGAGACCAGTGTTTCAGCATTTGGGTCATACAGTGCCAGGCCTGGAGGTGTTGTTAAGTCTTTTTTGATGCTATCAAAGGCTTCCTGCTGCTGTGTGCCCCAGCACCACATGTTGGACTTTTTCAATAAGTCTCTCAGAGGGCGTGTTTTCTCTGCCAGGTGAGGCAAAAATTTTCCAAGATGATTGGACATCCCTAGAAAACGTCTCACTTCGCTTACGTTGCAGGGCTCCTTCATGGCTGTTATGGCGGCCACCTTATCTGGGTCTGGGCTGACTCCCGATGCCTCAATAATCTGACCCAGGAATTTAATTTTGTTCTTGGAGAACTCACATTTATCATTAAGTGTGACCCCTGCATCCTGCAGTCGTGACAGTGCTTTCCTCAGTCTCTGATTGTGTTCGCTCTGTGTGGCTCCCCATATAAGCACATCATCCATCTGACACAGAACGCCGTCCAGACCTTCCAGGATTTGTGACATGCGTTTCTGGAAATGTTCTGGAGCTGATGATATGCCGAAACACAAGCGGTTGTAGCAATAACGCCCAAATGGTGTTATGAAGGTGGTCAGCAGGGAAGACTCTTTGGACAATGGTATCTGCCAGAATCCTGCATTAGCATCTAACTTTGAAAAAACTTTAGCTCCAGCAATTTGTCCTAATGTATGTTCAACTGAGGGTAATGGGTGTTTCTCTCTCAACACTGATTTGTTCAGCTCAGTGAGGTCAGTGCATATTCTCACCCGTTCTGTGTTTTTTGGCACCACCACCATGGGTGCACACCACTCAGTAGGCCCCTCCACTTTAGAGAACTCCTTGCTGCACCATGCGCTGGGACTCCTCCTTGACCTTTGGTAGGAGTGGGAGGGAGATTCGTCTCTGAGTTGAGAGTGAAAACGGCTGTGCTCCAGGCTTAAGCACAATGTTGTACTCACCCTCCATCTTCCCAAGTCCACTAAAAAGCTTTTGGAACTCTCTCTTAACAGTCTCTTTCGATTCCAGGCTGATACACTCCACCCTGGCAACCAGCTGTAATGCCATAGCTGCCATTCCACTCAGCAGTGAAGTTGTCAGCCCCCTAACCACATAAATGTTCTCTGTAGTGGTTGTGTTGTTCTTGCTCAGAGTTGCTGTGAACATGCCTTTGACGTGTAACCGTTTACCCCCTGGCCCCCTTAGGATCTTGGCAGGTTTCTCAAGTTCCCTGAAGTGACTCTGGATATACAGTTTTTCAGACACCGCTGTCACATCAGCGCCAGTGTCGATTTTGAACACTGTTCGATGACCGTCCACGTCTACTTCAGTCAGCCAGGGACCCTTTTCCTCCTTGTCCGACACTGAGCCCAGAAACGCAGTGCCCTCCTCAGGCTCTTCAGTCACTGTTGCCATTTCAC